TTTGAAGGCCATAGGCAGGTTCTAAAGACACATCTAGACCAGAAGCATGAAAATCAAGACCCAAAAGAGAGGAGGAGTGGGTGAGGGCATCTGGTGTGTGTGGAGAGGTTCTACGTTGTACATGGGGAGTATACTTCTGGACATGAAGGAGACCAAGACAAGTAAAAGATGTTTACTTGACTTAATGTTTTTTAACCTTTGAAAATCTTCATCTACAAAACAGAAATTCTTACTGCAAGGATCAAACAAGGCTGTACAGCAGCTGTTCCACGCTGCTTATCATGTTATCTGAGTTCTAAAGACTATACATGGAGCTCTACCTTTAAAGCAGCCCTGTGAGCTAAGCATCCACATTCCCTCCCCCATTTTCTAGACAGGAAAGTTAGAGCCCACAAGAGTAAAATAATGAGAATAGGTCAGATTGCCTTCGTGATGTCAAGTGGTCAGGTCAGTCCCAGCATCTGGCTCAGTCTGTGCTCTATGTAGCCCAGGGTGGCCCAGCCTTTCTTAAAGGGTTAGATGGCATTTTAGGTTGTTAGCTACTTAGCTCAGGCTTTGCAGCTCCCAGGCAGCCCCAGCCAGCAGGAGGGGAGCAAGTATAGCAGCTCTTGGGTAAATACTTTATGAACATTAAGAGCCAAATTCTGAAAACTTTTCGTGTTACTGATTATCCTTTCGATTGCTCTTAACAACTTCAAAATATCGAGCTTCTTCTTTGACATTTATTTGCCAAACCCACTCCAACTCATGCTGCACCTAACCCTGCAGTACCTAAGCTGCTGCACAGAACATACCTGAAGATGGTCCCCAGAGACTTGGGGGTGGATAAATGCTCATTCTTCCCCATCCCCAATCTCCTATCCTGCTCCTCCTGTCAACCAGACCAAGCAGGTGGCTCATGCAGTCCATACCATAAGAGGTGAGGACGGAGACACCACGATGGAGGTGATCCACAACTTCCTCAATTCAGACAGCCCAATTGGCCCCAAACGGAGGACAGATTGGAAATCCAAGGCCAGTGTTTCTCAAAGGGTAATTCATTGACATTTGGGGCCTTTGATAAAATGATGATTCTGCCTTAATATATCTAGGTATGCCCTGAGCCTCTGTTTTTATACTGAGCTCTCGGAAATGTCAGTACTGCTTGCCCTGATGCACAAGGGAGCTTCGAACAGCATCCCCTTTGTGTCTGCCGCCCTGAGTCACACATGTGAGAGGCTGTCTCCTGCCTGCCGGTTCATATCAGCATCCCTCAGCTAGACTGGGCCACACCCTGGAGACAGGCAATGCTCAGGACAGATATCTAGGTCCCCTGGCTGACTTCCATTGAAGTGGAAAGGCAATGAGGGGCAGAGGTCAAGAGTCACAGACAGTGGAATCCATAAGCTACAGCTTTAGTTCTTTTGGAAACAGTAGACCACGCCTCTGACCAGCCCCTAGCAGACAGGAGCCCCTCCTCCTGTGCTTGCCCGAGCTCTGATGGACAGAGCAAGAGGCCTGTTTCCTCATTGGGCCTGTGAATAACTAGGGCACATCCACAAGGTCACAGTTATTCATTTAAATTCCAGCTCTAATCAGCAGGCAGAGCCTGAGAAATTATCTGTTCTGAGGGGAGAGGTTGACAGCACCATAAACAGCCCTCAGGCAGCAGTGAGGGGTACCAAGAGAGGGGTGTAGAAAGGAGGGCTTTTCCCACTTCTTCCTCCTCTTAGAAGAGAGTTTTGGAACATTCAGAAGTGGGGAGAAGGTTGAGGGCAGCACAGGGATGGGACTGCCCACCCACAAGCTGTCCAGAGAGCCCAGTGATACATCTCAGTGAAAAAAGGTGGATTAAAATACCTGACAGAATCCCTTCCAGAAAACATATGAATCTACGCATCTTTGGAGGCCTCAGTTTCCTTAATTGTATTGTCTATATTCCTTGAACAATACACCCTTTAAGCTCTACTATGTCTCAGGACACTCTATAGAGTCAGATTGTCCCTTAGGCTTGTGGCCACTTCTGTTTAATAGACACAGATTGAGTTCTATATTTTATACACTATGCACAGATACAGTACTACAGACACAAGAAAGACATGATGCTGGTCCACAGGACCACTATGGACTCAAAGAACAAGAGTATAGACTCTGATGGCAGGTGAATTCGGAGGTTCTGGTCTTGTCCCTGGCAGAAGGTGTTCACTGGAACTCCCTGTAAGGTTTCTCATTTGCAGTGATGCTCACCTGGAGGAGCTAACTCAAAGATGCAGGAGAACACTCAGCCATCTATCTCCCCAAGACCTGCACATGGTACTAGAAATGCTTACTGTTGCTTTTTACTATTTTTAATCTTTTTATCCTAGCCTAGGGTGAGAGGCTTTAAACTTCCACTGGTTGTCCAGTGGAACTTGCATGTTCCAGAGAACTTGGACTCACTGTATCCTGGACTCACTGTCAAAGAGTTCTCAGCCCATCTCTGGAACTCTGGAAAAGGTACTGCTCGCAAGTCCTATCTCAAACTACATTTTACGGTAGGGTTATTTCTAACCATTGTACTCAGCATGTAAAATTCATCAATTAATCAATCATCATATTTATAGTCTTTTAGCGGCCTCTGGGTAAACACTTACATTAGCTTATACAATCTCCAATATGTCTTCCTGAGGGGAAGAGAAAAAAATCAGAGAACCACAAAAGGCTTCAGGTGTCTGAGCCACAGGGCTTTTAACTCCAGATAGCCTGACCAGGAGCTGAGAGATGGTAGAAAGCTACCTAGTAACCTCCAGCAGGTCTGACCTGAGCACATGGCCATTACTGAAAGATCTAAACCAAGGATTTTCTTCAGGCTTAGAAACCAAAAATAAAAAATAAAAACCCTAAAAGAGCTGGAGGAGTGATAGGATTAGTAATCATCTCTAGATACTTCAAGGGCAAAATGAATATCACAAATTTAGACTAAGAAAAAAAACCCATTTGGTCCTGATATTTAGTAACTGGGTGAGTATAACACTGCCACTTAACCTCCCTGGAGTCCCACTTAATCTGCAATAAAATGGGGCTCAGGCCACATACCTCAGAAGGTTATTAAGAAAATAAAGTGAGATAATGGTCATTAGATGAAGCTGTGTCAGAGATGGGGGGGAATATTAGCAGCTGCTATTATCTAAAGAAGGAGTAGTCACAGACCTCCACCCCTTTGAATAGATCAAAGGTGGCCTGTGGTCTCCTCTAGCATTCTTTTCCACACAGAGCCAATAAGGTAACCCTGGGAGAACTAGAAAAAGGCTTCCCAATGAACACAGGCTGGGAAAGAGAAATGCAGGCTTCAGTTCCATTCATTCCTCAGCAGGAATACCATGTAGGCACATGTGCCACCCCTGGAAACATCTCTGTCATCAAGCAGGAAGGACAAAGCTAAATGGCGCCTCGCAAACCAAGATCTGAGATATTCATTTTACTCCTTGACCTCCTTGGATTAAATATTCTGCTACAAGAGAGGCTTCCCCTGTCCATTCTCTATAAATTAGTGATTTCGATTCTATAATATACCATTTTCTCCATACCACTTAGTAGTTATCACATGCTAAAATATGCATTAATAGATGCGTGTAATGTGTATACATATATGCACATATGCAGTCATGTGTGTGTCCATGTACTTGTCCCCATTTAGAATAAAAGTACATGAAACCACCATTTCCAATCCGAGTAATATTTTTTCAGGAAGTGTTGTCTGTAATGTGTTTCAAATAAAGATTGGCAGAAAAATAAAACAGAAAATGTTCTCCGTGTTTGGTAAGAATAACTATATTGTGATCTCCCACTGTATAATCCCATTTATAACAATGATCAGAAGGACCCTACCAAAGTATGAGCGATTATTTTAAATGTTCAAAACAATAAAGGATACACTCATTTGGAGAAAGAGATGGCAGTAAAGAAAAGGTCATATTACTTCTAAGCAAAAACAAATGAATGGGCAATTATAACATTAGGAATACTTAGAAGCTCTTCAGTCACTGGGAATTTTCAGCGATGACCCTAGTGTATGCCTTTAAAGTGTGAATTTGCTTTGGAGTTCAGTTATTACCACATGACTTTTGGCAAGACTATTTAACCTGTTAGACTTTACATTTTATGTACTTTAAATTGTACAGAGGACTGCGTATATTACATGTGTGCCCTTAAGGATTAAATATAAGAAGGACTAAGTAAGTGAACATGAAAATACCTAAGATAGTCTCCCTTCTTGTCTGCAATTCACTATTCTTAACTCAAAATTCCTTTAGAATAGATCTACATCTGATCCCTAGATTATCTCACATTTCTTCTTATGAGTTATTGGGTCCTCTATCATGGCCATATATATTCACATACATGTATATGCCCAAATACATACAAGGCTTAAAAGTAGATCTCTGGGTGAGCATTCATTTAAATAGAAATGCACAGTTATCTCAATGATGGGCCCTCTGTATTTCTATTAACAAAATTCAACCAAACACTCTTTTTGTTTTATTACAGTGAACATGTATTACTTGCATAATTAGAAAATAAATAGAATATTATCAATACCATTGTAGAAAATGAAAATAGAAGAAAGAAACCTTCATTTACCCATATAATTTCTGGGTTGAATAGGTCATAGTGTCGGCTTTTAACCACAGAAAGCTATACCTATAAAACAAGGCAAAAGTGTTCATTGCATTGGATCACACCAGCTTTTAAAATATTTCCCCAAAATGTTAATTTTCCACTTTTTTGATTCACATAGAATTCATAAGGAAGTAATCACATAAGCCAGGGAAACACATTGCATTGGTTTGAAAATAGTTCTTCAAAGCCAGCAAAAAAACCCTTACTTCAAGCCATTTCTTCTTCTAAACCAAAAAATCAGTGAAAAATGCAACATACTAAGTTTTTTTTTAATCCCTAGGAAAAGGGGTCACTCAGAATCAAACCATGCACAGTCTAGCAGAAGGCAAATTCCCACAACAGCTGTGCAAACAAAGACTCACCTGGACCTTGACTGACATCTGTGGCAGCAGTTTCAAAGCAAAGGAAGAGAGGAGGAGAGAGAAATGGAGACGAGTGTTAGCAGTGCACCCACACACAATACCATGTGTTCTTGCATGAGTAGGAAGGTCATGCAAGCTCCCACATTTCCACCTTCACCCAAAAACCACCCATGCAAGCCAAGGAGTCAAGCTCCATTTTTACTGTGCATGTTAGCAGAAGAGGTAAAGCCACCATCTGTCCGGAAAAATATCATCCTGGAATCAGATAGGGCTCCAAAGAGCCAAGCAACCTAGAATCCTGTAAGAATATCGGTTAAAATATTCTGGTTGGTTCTGCACACTGACACCCAAGCAAATCTTCCTCATTCCCAGATACCAAACACTGGACACAAAGTCAAGTGAGGTTTCCCAGTAGAGAGAAAAAAAAACAAACAAACAAATAAACGGCTCCCTTGAGGAAGAAAGAAAACGAGGCATTCAGCATTAAGAGCAAGCTGCAGCATTAGTTAGCATGTAGGGCAGAAGGGCAGAAGATGACAAAACATTTACAGTCCCCTGCCACTCCACATTCGCAGTGACTATCCTTCATCACAGACAGCAGTGTGTGAATGAGATTGTGTGTGAACCAAACACTCACCATAGAAATTGAAACTCTGCTTCCCAGCACTGATAATTTTTCTGCTTGCTTTTCACCCCATCACTAATGACAAAGATTACCCATGCAAATCACTTTTGTCAACTATAATTGAATACAGAGCCCTGGAAAGGTTGACACATGAATTAAGTCAATGAACTTTTAAGACACACAGAACAGTACACTCTCATCATCTTCGTCAACAATGGGATGTCTTCCTCCTCCTCCCTCTCTCAGATGTGACATAGGATTGTTCTGGGAAACCTAAGTGGAAAAATCCTAAGGCACTGTTAAAAACTCAGATAGTTTAGCTGCATTTACTACAGGTGGAGCAACAGGAAGCTGCTTCGGAAACCACAGATCACCAGGCAGTCATTGGATAGTGGGTCTGGAAGACCATAGGCTTCTCTGTTGTTGTTGTTGTTGTGTTATTGTTGTTGTTGTTGTTATGGAGGACAAAGATACTGATAGATTTTTTCCTCAAGGTTGCAAAGCCAGTTCAGAGTCAGAGCTCAGAAAATAATCCTCCATCTCTCAGTCCCATCTACTTCAACATTCACTCAACTGATGCCCAGACCTCTCGAGACATACAGAATCCAGTTTAATTTGTAGGCTAAAGGACATATTCTTAAGCCACAAGAAAGATAGGTAAGACTCTCCCAGTTACCCCCTAAGTAGATCGTCATGAATCCTCTGTGGCTTTAACCTGCTGCCAGAATAAGATAGATCATGTTCTTCATGTCAATAATGAAACAACAGCAATCAGATTGGTACAGTACATCCTTAGGGCTTTTATCCGAGGGTAAACCCAGAGCTTTTACCAAATTGAGCTGTGCCTTAGCATCTGGGAGTGATATAGTCAGAAGAACAGCTGAGGATTCACCCAGTGTGTGTCCTGCAATCCTTGGTAGCTATATATGCTCAAAGATACTTCTAAAGAACTCTGAGTCATTCCTTAGACACACCCCTTTCAGGTTTTCCAGTAAGTTAGATTTAGGAGTGGAGCGGTGAGAGAGGGAAAGAAAAGAGGTAAAGTAGAAGACGTGGGTAGGAGAAGGATGCTGCGTGAATAACTAAGTGGGGCCATTAACTGTGACTGATGGATTGCCTAGAATAGTGGTCTCATTAAAATACCCCTTAATTAAACAGGATATCTGTGGTGAGAATGTCAACAGTGTTGTTCATACATACTCTTTGAGGACTCCAAGACCCAGTGAGACAGGATCCCTTGGAACCCCAATGGTCTTTACATGTCGATTAGTTACCCATTTTGGCACTATGACTACAATCCTAAACTTGGAGATATCCCAGCTTGCCCTGCAGCCTTAGGCCAATCACTGAACTTCTAATTCATCTTGTTTCTGCTATAAAAATGGGAACAGAGCCTCCCCCATGGGGGTGTTAGGAGACGTAAATGCTTGCAAAGCACTTAGTCAAACACTGCATAAACGGTAGCAGCTCTGATTGTTATCATTTTGAATCACCACAGACAGATTTGCCAACATTTATTGACCAGATGGTACACTGGAAACACCAAGAGACCACAGGAAGTAAGCCTCTGACTCAGGTGCAATGCTTCTACTTATGAACTCCAACCCCATCCCCCATTCCTAACCCCTGTCTATCAGTGCAGAAGGGGAGTCTGGTGTGAGCAGAAGCAGGGGTCAAAACAAATTCCATGATTACTTCTTCTGTTTTACCCCTTATACTGTAACTCAGTGCAGTTGTGGTCGGACACAGAAACACAGAACTCTTCTCATCACAGAAGGGCAACAATAACATTCTTAAAAGTCCTTTGCACTGGACAGGGGTGAGAGAATCATTTCTGAACCCAGTTCCAGCTATAGGAATACAGACACCTCAGGAAGCAGGGAGTTACTTGGATTTCTGGACTCAATTCTGTTCCCTGGCCTCCAAATGAAATGGAAAAGGCATGAGATAAAGAAAAGGGATATCCATTGGGACTGGGGGATGGGATGAAGGCTAAAGGGAGAGAGTAAGGATGCTTCTGTATTGTCTCTCTTATAACAATCCCCAGCTTTCTTCTGGGGAACCCCTTTCCCCATCTTTAATCCATGTGGTTGGTAAAGATTATCCCTGTTCTAAGAGGAGCCCTGTGACTCCACTCTGATTTTAGGAATATGCTATCTTCTGGACCACTAACAGACATGTGACCCAGGTCCCAACCAATGAAAGTCTTCCAAGGCAATTTCACTGGAATTATTAGGAAATTAATAGCTTCCATCTTCATCACCATCTACAGACTACCCCCATACCTGACTCCATGCTTTCCTTAAACAACATGGGAGAAATCAAGGCCTCTTTGTAGGATATGGGAGAGTTAACTGACCTAGAATCGAATCCCAGCTCTGCCTTCCACTCAAAGGCAACTGCCTCCGCATCCCTGAGACTCAATCTCCTCTTCTATAAACAGAGGTCCTCAAGGTATCTATCTTAGTGAGCTGTATCCATGGAAATCCTGTATTCGCATTCAATACATATTAAATAAGTGACAATTATAGGCCAGACCATACTTCCTCCATAGAAGATACAAGCAATGAATGAACAAAACGGGTGAGACTCTTGGGTTTAAATTGGAAGTATAAATAATACAGGCATACATTTATAGTGGGACATGACATAGCGATTAGTGTCATGAAGAAAGAAGAAACAAGGTAAGTATTGGCAGGAGTCTCCATGTCAGAAAAGATTACTAAAGAAGCACTTCAAAGGAAATGATGTCATATTTGGACAAATACCTGAAGAAGAACTGTTTAGGTAAGAAGACATCACCTGTAAGGGTGCACACAGGATGTGCTCTGTTATTGCTTTCTACTAATAGGACAAAAGTTCTGGGTACCAGAATCCTTAACCTGCCACTTCCTTCCCATCTCTGCCACTCACTGGCATTCCTCCCATCTCTGGCACTCACATGCATTCCTCAGCAGGTCACAGATGCCCTGACCTAGTCTGAAGTCAGCTCCCTTGGGACTTCTCCAATCCAACCAGGGGATGCAAAAAGAGGAAAGAAGGGTTTTGAAATCCATCGCCACCCTTCATCCTCTTTCTTCAGCATCACAACCATAGGAGTCAATCAGGGCATTTCCATCTATACTCACAGATGCTGATTACATATTCAACAATTATTTCAGCCACGAGTTTAAAGGAAGCAGGGGAGCTTCTAACTACTGGGAAAAAAAATGGGCCCGCCATCTACTACTAGAATGTTTTGATATATGACCCTCCCTGGGGAACCTCCTTCCGACCCCACCCTTCATTTGCACTAGATCATATTAAGAGCCAAGAGTCTCAGACACATGTAGACACCCACAGGCAAATATTGTATGGAGCTTGGGGACTCTTATGGAAGAGTTGGGGAAAGGATTGCAGGCCCCAAAGGAGATAGGAACTCCATAGGAAGACCAATAGAATCAACTAACCTGGACTCTTGGGGGCTCTCAGAGACTGAACCACCAACCAAAGAGCATACATAGGCTGGACCTAGGCTTCTCCACACATGTGTAGCAGATGTACAGCTTGGTCTTCATGTGGGTCCTGAACAACAGGAGTAGGGTCTACCCCAAAAGCTGTTGTCCATATGTGGGATATGTTCTAGTTGGTCTGCCATGGGCTTTAGACGTATCATTCCTTTTAATGCTTGCCACACACCTAACAGGAAGGAGCACTATTCATTCCAGTGGGAGAGAATGCACCTAGCCTTGCAATACTGGATGTGCCAGGGCAGAGGGGATACCAAAGGTCCCCCATCTGCTAAGAGGAGAAGAGGCGGGGAAAGGAGAAGGACTGTGGGAGGGGTAACTGGGAATAGGGTAGTGAGCAAGATGTAAAGTGAAGAAGTTAAAACAAAAAAGGCAAGAGTACAAAGTTCCCCCAATTTCTTCTTTCATACAGCCTCCCATCCCTAGTGGAGGCTTAGGAAGCATGAAATAGGATACACACCCAGACTCCTGAAGGACAGTCCCAGGCAAACCTTAGGGGACACCACCTGGTGAACTCTGCCTCGAGTCTGACCTATTTTCTAGGAGAGAAAATAGAATATAGATTTGAATGCAGTGGCACTCTGGAAAACTACAGGCCCAGCAGTGTGAGAAAATAAACCAGCAGGGGGTGGCTGAAAAAGCGCTGGCACCAGTGAGCATGCTGCTTCCTCTGGTTGTCAGTGGCCCCTGCTTCTACAATTGGCCCCTACTTTCTGTCCCCTTCAAATATTGATGCAAGGCTAGGGAGATGGCTGAGCAGAAAAAGTACTTACAGCACAAGGGTGAGGACCCAAGTTCAAATCTTCAGAGCCCATGTAAAAAGCCAGGCAAGGGCAGCATGTCTCAGCAATCCCACTGTTCCTAAGGGGAGCCGGAAGGCAGAG